GAGAGTGCTCAGAGGACAGGGGTCTTGCCCGTCTTGATCACTGCTACATCCCCAGCACTTGGAACAGTGTCTGCACACAGTAAGTGCTTAATAAAGGCTTGTGGCAGAAATGAACTTGCTAGAGAGCCAGGCTCTCTTGCTTTCTTTTTCATTTCTACTTCTTTTATTTTTATTTTGGAGAAAGGGGTCTTGCTTTGTCACTCTGCTAAAGTGCAGTGGCACCATCATAGCTCCCTGCAGCCTCAACCTCCCAGGCTCAAGTGATCCTCCTGCCTCAGCCTCCCTAGTAGCTGGGAGTACAGGAGTGTGCCACCACACCCAGCTAATTAAAAAAAAAAGTTTTTTTTTTGGCCAAATGAAGTGGCTCATGCCTGTAATCCCAGCACTTTGGAAGGCTGAGGTGGGCGTATCACCTGAGGTCAGGAGTTCGAGACTAGCCTGGCTAACATGGTGAAACCCCGTTTCTACTAAAAATACCAAAAATTAGCCAGGTGTGGTGGTGCATGCCTGTAATCCCAGCTACCTGGGAGGCTGAGGCAGGAGAACCTGGAGGCAGAGGTCTCTCAGTGAGCTGAGATCGCACCATTGCATTACAGCTTGGGCAACAAGAGAGAAACTTCGTCTCAAAAAAAAAAAAATTTTTTTTTTTTTGTTTTTTGTTTTTTGTAAAGGCCAGGCACAGTGGCTTACACCTATAATCCCAGCACTTTGGGAGGCCAAGACAGGCAGATTTATCGAGATCAGGAGTTCTAGACCAGCCCGGCCAACATGGTGAAACCCCATCTCTACAAAAATAAAAAAAGCATCTGGGCATGGCAGCATGCACTTGGAATACCAGCTTCTCAGGTGGCTGAGGCAGAATCTCTTGAACCCAGAAAGCACAGGTAGCAGGGAGCTGAGATCACACCGCTACACCCCAGCCTGGACAACAAAGCGAGACTTCATCTCAAAAAAGAGTTATTTTTGTAGAGATGAGGGTCTCACTCCATTGCCCAGGCTAGTCTGGAACTCCTGGGCTCAAGCAATCCTCCTGCCTTCGCCTCCCAAAGTATGGGAATTACAGGTGTGAGCTGCTGCCCCTGGCTCCAAAAATTCTTGACTTTGATTTCTCAGCCAGATCTGCTCTTTCTTGGTTTTTCCCATTTCAGTCCAGGGTACCCTCATCCACCCTGCTGCTTCATCCACAAAGCCAGAGAGCATTCTCTCATCCCCACACTAATCCATGTACAAGTCCTTTCGTTCACCTCCAAATAAAACTCAAACCCATCCCCGCTCCCAGCCCTTGCCAGCATGTCTGGCACCATCCCCTCTCTGCTGGGATTATGGCAGTAATCTCCTAACTGGTCTTCTTCATTCCCTTCTTGCTCCCATTTAGTTCATTCTTTTTACACAGCAAACAGCATGATCTTTTAAAAACAAATCAGATCATGTTGATCCCCAACTTAAACCATTTAAAGGCTTCCCCTGCAATTAAAGTAAAATCTGAAATCCTCACCCTGGCCTTCAGGCCCAACCTGCATCTCGACCTTAGCCCTCCCCGCTTTCCTGCTGGCTCACCAGGCACTGCACACACTGTTTTTTTCTGCCTCGGGGCCGTTGCGCTTGCGATTTCTTCTGCTGGGAAATCTCACTCCCCAATTCCAAATGCCTGGTTTCAGCTTATCTTTCAGGACTCAGCTTAAATGTCACTAAAGGAGAATATTTAATACCTCCCTGCCTACCTTTTCTATCATGTCACTAGCTTATTCCTTGGTCATGATTTCTGGGGAAGAATTCTGGAGCACACTACCAGGGTGTTGAATCCTACTTCCACTGCTCCTTGACCACGTGACCTTAGCTATTTGCTGCTCTGTCCTTCAATTCCTCATCTGCAAAATGGGGTATTGCAAAATAGAGTACCTTATAGGATCAGTACCTGGCACAGGATAAGCACTAAGTAAATATTTTTTTTTTTTTTTTTTTTTTTTGAGACGGAGTTTCGCTCTTGTTACCCAGGCTGGAGTGCAATGGCGCGATCTTGGCTCACCGCAACCTCCGCCTCCTGGGTTCAGGCAATTCTCCTGTCTCAGCCTCCCGAGTATCTGGGATTACAGGCACGTGCCACCATGCCCAGCTAATTTTTTGTATTTTTAGTAGAGACGGGGTTTCACCCTGCTGACCAGGATGGTCTCGATCTCTTGACCTCGTGATCCGCCTGCCTCGGTCTCCCAAAGTGCTGGGATTACAGGCGTGAGCCACCACGCCCGGCCCCAGTAAATATTTTAATTTAAAAAATTGGCTGTTGCCGGGCGCGGTGGCTCAAGCCTGTAATCCCAGCACTTTGGGAGGCCGAGGCGGGTGGATCACGAGGTCGAGAGTTCGAGACCATCCTGGTCAACATGGTGAAACCCCGTCTTTACTAAAAATACAAAAAATTAGCTGGGCATGCTGGCGCGTGCCTGTAATCCCAGCTACTCGGGAGGCTGAGGCAGGAGAATTGCCTGAACCCAGGAGGCGGAGGTTGCGGTGAGCCGAGATCGCGCCATTGCACTCCAGCCTGGGTAACAAGAGCGAAACTCCGTCTCAAAAAAAAAAAAAAAAAAAAAAAATTGGCTGTTAAGTGAAAATTAAGTGTAACTAATGGAAACCCAGTGTTACTGGCAGTAGGGTATAGAAGATTAAAGGGACAAATCTTGATGCCCAGCATTGGTTATAGGAAGAACAAGAAAACAAGGCACATGCTGCCCTGTGGCTTCTGGAAGTTCTTGGTTCATAATGTCAAGAAGCTGGAAGGGCTGCTGGTGTGCAGCCAGTGTTAGTGTGCTAAGACTGCTCGAAATGCTTCCTCTGAGAACCATAAAGCCTGTGTGGAAAGAGCAGCCCAGCTGGTCACCAGAGTCTCAACCCCAATTCCAGGCTGTGCAGCAAAGAAAACAAATAGACGGCTCACATGCCTGCTTTATTTGTGTTTAAATAAAACCATGAAAACTGCAGAAAAAAGAGACACCAAAAATGTGATGAAGCATCAAAAGCACGTGGAACCTGTTACCTCCACTGTGAAAACAAGTGATAGCCTTTTATTCTAGGAATAATAACTAGGGCAAAACTTTCTTCACAAGAGAAATTGAACACAGAGAAAACTGGGCTCTCTGTATAGAGCAGCAGGATGGATGGATTGTAGCGCTGTTGACTGAGACGACACTGACACTGCAGTTGTCCTTCCTGGGGAAGACATCTAGTACCCTCTCCAAGTAATTGACACTCCCACCAACATTTTGTTCATGTCCTATTTAGAAGTCCAGAGGCCTCATTTCAAAAAAACATTTTTTTTTGAGACAGGGTCTTACTCGGTCGCCCAGGCTGGAGAGAAGTGACACAATCTTGGCTCACTGCAGCCTTGAACTCCTGGGCTCAAGAGATCCTCCAACCTCGGCTTTCTGAGTAGTTGGGGTTACAGGCATGCACAACCATGGCTAACTATTTTTAATTTTTTGTTTTGTAGAGACAGGGTCTCCCTAGGTACCTAGGCTGGCCTCAAATTCCTGGGCTCAAGTGATTGTCCTGCCTCAGCTTCCCAAAGTGCCGGGATTATAAGCGTGAGCTACCATATCCGGCTTCCAGAGGCTTCATTTTACAAATGCAGGAACAGAGACTAAGAGAGGAGAAGGATTTGCTCAGGTTTGCACAGTAAACTAAGCCCAAGACTGCTGGCTTCTAGGAAAGATTTCTTTAAGCCCTCATTGATATAAAAACTCTTTTTAAAAAAATTTTTAATTAGAAAAAGTATTTATTTCTGCTCCTTTCATACATTTTATTGTTCAGGAAACAGTCTTATATACATATCGGAAATAATCTACCATCACACACTCTAGTTAAAGGCAAAGCACTGTAGGTAAAGCTGATCAGCTGTCCAGAGTTCTCAGCTTATGGAATCTTGCTTTTGATTTTATGTTAATTTCTGAAAATCAGAAATGTCATCTCCAAAAAATGTTAAGGGGTTGTAAAAAAAATCACTTTATTTGATATTATGGATGTAGATATGGAATATATTTTCTTTAAGAAATAAAAAACTGCCGGGCGCGGTGGCTCAAGCCTGTAATCCCAGCACTTTGGGAGGCCGAGGTGGGTGGATCACGAGGTCGAGAGATCGAGACCATCCTGGTCAGCATGGTGAAACCCCATCTCTACTAAAAATACAAAAAATGAGCTGGGCATGGTGGTGCGTGCCTGTAATCCCGGCTGCTTAGGAGGCTGAGGCAGGAGAATTGCCTGAACCCAGGAGGCGGAGGTTGCGGTGAGCCGAGATCGCGCCATTGCACTCCAGCCTGGGTAACAAGAGCGAAACCCCGCCTCAAAAAAAAAAAAAAAAAGAAATAAAAAACTAAGAAGAAAATGCCACTCTTCATTGTTGGTAGGTCAGCAGGTTGGCAGAAAAAAAAAAATACTGTGATAACTTGTCTCTTTAATACCAAGAAGAAATTCTAGTCCAAGCTTCAATACACTTCCTGTTTTTTTCACTAGATACTTCTTTTACTGCTGCTCTTCATTCTTTTCCACGTTTCATATTAGAGGATTGGTATAGCCATTAAAACTTCATTGACAGGGCAGGGCGAGGTGGCCCACGCCTGTAATCCCAGCACTTTGGGAAGCTGAGGAGGGTGGATCACAAGGTCAGGAGTTCAAGACCAGCTTGAACAAGATGGTGAAACCCCATCTCTACTAAAAATACACACATAAAAAAATTAGCTGGGCATGGTGGCGGGTGCATGTTGTCCTAGCTACTTGGGAGGCTGAGGCAGGAGAATCGCTTGAACCCGGGTGGCAGATGTTGCAGTGCTGAGATTTCGCCACTGCACTCCATCCTGGGTGACAGAGTGAGACTCCGTCTCAAAAAAAAACAAAAAACCACAACAACAACACAAAAAAACTCAACAGGACACAGACGAATCCAATGAATAGAAGAAAAAATCTATTGCGTTTTGGGATATTTGATGCATTAAATTGGTCCAGGATTATGAAAGCTAAACCTCCATTGTAAACAGGAAGCTGGATGCAAGTCCTTCCATAATATATTGTCCATTTACTCTGTAGGCCAAGAAAGCTACTGGCCTCTGATACCCATGTTCCTCAGTCATAGGGCCAACATTTGGAGATTCAACAATAATATCGCAAATTATTCCTCTAGTGATGAGGAAGCAAGGCATCACTACCAAAGCATACACAGTCAAGGCCAATGCCATGTGCAGCCAGGGCAGTTTCTTTAGCTTCAGGTTGGGACATTCGAGCACTAAGAACAGGACACAGTACAAAGTCTCCATGCTGGTGGCAGCAAGGCAAAACCTCTTTAATTAATTAATTAATTAATTATTTCTGAGAAGGAGTCTTGCTCTGTCATCTAGGCTGGAGTGCAGTGGCACAGTCTCGGCTCACTGCAACCTCCACCTCCCAGGTTCAAGAGATTCTCTTGCCTCAGCCTCCCAAGTAGTTGGGACTACAGGTATACACCACCATGCCCGGCTAATTTTTGTATTTTTAGTAGAGATGGGGTTTCACCATGTTGACCAGTCTGGTCTTGAACGCCTGACCTCAGGTGATCCACCTGCCTCAGCCTCCAAAACTGCTGGGATTACAGGTGTGAGCCACCATGCTGGACCGATATAAAAGCTCTTGATATAAAAATGGAGAGAAAGGAGTAAGGAGGAGGAGAAGAATGAGGAAGGGTTGAATCAGGTGTTCACTGGCAGGCAGGAACACTGACAGGTATGTGGGGCAACCAGAGATCTTGAAGGGAGGGCAGGGGAGTCGTTAAGGAAACGGAGGTGGAGGCTGGGGCCTGACTGGGTTATTTTTGGAGCTGCTATCTTTGTCTGCATCTGCTAAATTATTAAGCTGAGATCACTTCCTAGAGGGTGCCAGGCCAGGTTGCCAGGGAGAGGCTGAAAGGGAGAGGTTAGATCTCTTAGCAGAGGCCTCAGATATTCTGGGCTGGGATAGAGGTAGACTCCTCAGGCCTTGACCCCTTCTCCATACCACTCTCAACTGATGGAGGGGATTGGGGATCCTGCTTGGGGCCACAGCCAGTCACTATCCCCTCTACAAGGCTGTCTCTTCTGACTGTTGTCTAGGAGGCGGTAGATATGTACTGGACCAGACTCTGGAACCTGGTCCCATCTCAGCTGCCTCTTCTCTTTCAGGATCTCAGACCCAAGCCACAGGTTTTGAGTTGGATAGATATGACCATAGATAGGTGAGATTTGGGCACATCCTTGCATGTATCAATGTTCTTGTCTATGCCATAGATATTAGCCATTCCACTTCTCAGATGAAAGCCCTGAAGTTCAGAGAACAAAGGTGTTTGTCTCAGGGTTACATAGCTAGAAAAAGACTGAACTTTAATTCAAACATAAGTCTTTCTGATTTCAGGCTCCTTTCTTCTGTTTTCTTCTTTTTTTAATTTTTTAAGATGGAGTTTCGCTCTTGTTGCCCAGGCTGGAGTGCAGCGGTACGATCTCGGCTCACTGCAACCTCCACCTCCCAAGTTCAAGTGATTCTCCTTCCTCAGCCTCAGAATAGCTAGGCTACAGGTGGGTACCACCACGCCCAGCTAATTTTTGTATTTTTAGTAGAAACGGGGTTTCACGATATTGGCCAGGATGGTCTCAAGCTCTTGACCTCGTGATCTGCCCTCCTTGGCCTCCTAAAGTGCTGGGACTACAGGCATGAACCACCACACCTGGCCTAATTTTTGTATTTTTAGTAGAGATGGGGTTTCACCATGTTGGTCAGGTTGGTCTTGAACTCCTGACCTCAAGTGATCCACCTGCCTAAGCCTCCCAAAGTACTGGGATTGCAGGGATTGTGTGAGCCACCTCGCCTAGCCTTTTTCTCCTCTTGCTCCTCTTCTTCTTCTTTCTTCCTCTTATTCCTTTCCCTCCTCTCCCTCCTCTCCCCCCTCCCCCTCCCCCTTCCCCTTCTTTTTCTTCTTTTCTTCTGAGACAGGGCTTTGCTCTGTCTCCCAGGATGGAGTGCAGTGGTACAATACTAGCTCACTGCAGCCTCAAACTCCTGGGCTCAAGAGGTCCTTCTGCCTTAGCCTCCCATGTAGCTATAGGCGTGCACCACCACATATAGCTAATTTTAAAAATTTTCTGTAGAGATAGAGTCTTGCTATGTTGCCCAGGCTGGTCTCAAACTCCTGGCCTAGCCAGGCTCAGTGGCTTATGCCTCTAATCCCAGCACTTTGGGAGGCCGAGGCGGGTGGATCACGAGGTCAAGAGTTCAAGGCCAGCCTGGCCAAGGTGTTGAAACCCCATCTGGGTGACAAAGTGAGACTCTGTCTCAAAAAACAAAGTAAAAAAAATTAAAAACAAAACAAAACAAAAAAACAAAAAAACAAGACACCTGGCTTGAAGTGATCCTCCCATCTTGGCCTCCCAAAGTACTAAGTGGCATGAGCCACTGTCCTTGGCCTATTCTTTTTTTTTTTTTTTTTTTTTTGTTAGATGGAGTCTTGCTCTGTCACACAGGCTGGTGTGCAGTAGAAAGATACAGCTCACTGCAGCCTCAAACTCCTGGGCTCAAGCGATCCTCCCACCTCAGCCTCCTGAATAGCTGGGACTAGGGGCATGCACCACCGTGCTCAGCTAATTTATTTTTATTTTTCCTACAGATGAGGCCTCACCATGTCCCCCAGGCTGGTCTTGAACTCCTGGATGCTCAAGTGATCCTCCTGCCTCAGTCTCTCAAAGTGCTGGGATTATAGGTATAAGACACCTAGCCTGACAGCCTGTTCTTTTTTAGTATTTTATCTGTTTCCCAGATTTTCTACAAAACGAATGTACTTTATACCTTTTATAAAGATCAGAAAAATGCAATAATCATTATAGTTTAAAGATGCATTTCTTCATTCGATGTTGTGTTTGCTGGGCTGGCTGTGCACTAACAGGTGGTGGACTGTGACTCCTTTCCACTGTGAGAGTGTGGTGCTCAGGAGCAGTTAAGAAAGCAGGGCCGGGCTTGGTGGCTCACACCTGTAATCCCAGCACTTTGGGAGGCTGAGGCGGGCAGATCACAAGGTCAGGAGTTCAAGACCAGCGTGGCCAACATGGTAAAACCCCATCTCTACTAAAAACACAAAAATTAGCTGGGCGTAGTGGCGTGTGCCTGTAGTCTCAGTTACCTGGGAGGCAGAGGTAGGAGAATCACTTGAACCTGGGAGCAGAGGTTGCAGTGAGCCGAGATCACACCACTGCACCACTCCAGCCAAAGACAGTGGGCAACGGAGCAAAATTCTGTCTCAAAGAAAAAAAGAAAGAAAGAAAGAAAGAAAGCTGGCAGATGCCAAGTCTCTCTCACTTGTGGTCCTTTGCACATGGTGTTCCCATCCTGAATCTTTGTCCTTTCCCCCCACCACCTCCGCAGCACTCACTTTGATGTGTCCTTCAGGTCTCAGCTTACATATCATCTCCTGTAGGAAACCCTCCCTGGTCTCCTCCCCACCAGGCTGGGGTCAGCCCTCCCTGGCTGTTCTGTCTTCTCACAGTCTCTGTGCTGTCTCCATCCTGGTAGAAACCTCACTGAACTGCCATTGCCTGCCTGTGTTCCCCCTATACTCACTGAGGGCAGGGCCCATCTGATTATTGCTGTACCTCCAGCTGCCTGCACAGCAGAAGAGGTGATGAACAGCTTTTGCATGAATGAAATGAAGAATAAATGAATGGGCAGGGCACGGTGGCTCACGCCTGTAATCTCAGCACTCTGGGAGGCCAAGGTGGGTGGATTACGTGAGGTCAGGAATTCAAGACCAGCCTGACCAACATGGTGAAACCCTGTCTCTACTAAAAATACAACAATTAGGCCTGACGAGGTGGCTCATGCCTGTAATCCCAGCACTTTGGGAGGCCGAGGTGGGCAGATCATGAGGTCAGGAGATCGAGACCATCCTGGCCAATATGGTGAGACTCCATCTCTACTAAAAAAATACAAAAATTAGCTGGGTGTGGTGGTAAGTGCTGTATCTTACCACTGCACTCCAGCCTGAATGACAGAGTGAGACTGTCTCAAAACAAAACAAAACAAAACAAAACAAACAAACAAAAAAAAATTAGCTGGGCGTGGCGGCAGGTACTCAGGAGACTGAGGTAGGAGAATTGCTTGAACCCAGGAGGCAGAGGTTGCACTGAGCCAAGATTATGCCACTGCACTCTAGCCTGGGGTGGTAGAGCCAGACTCCTAAAAGCAATAAATGAATGAATGGAGAAGGGGACTTCTCCATTCTCAACAAGCTCTACCTTTGTTTTCTTTTTCTGTTTTTTCTTTTCTTTTGAAATGGGAGTCTCCCTCTGTCCCCGCGGCTGGAGTGCAGTGGCACAATCTCGGCTCGCTGCAACCTCTGCCTCCTGGGTTCAAGCAATTCTCCTGCCTCAGTCTCCTGAGTAGCTGGTACTACAGGCACATGCCACCACGCTTGGCTAATTGTTTCGTGTTTTCTTTCTTTTCTTCTTTTTTTTTTTTTTTTTTGTGTGAGACGGAGTTTCGCTCTTGTTACCCAGGCTGGAGTGCAATGGCGCGATCTTGGCTCACCGCAACCTCCGTCTCCTGGGTTCAAGCAGTTCTCTTGCCTCAGCCTCCCGAGTAGCTGGGACTACAGGCGTGCGCCACCATGCCCAGCTAATTTTCGTATTTTTAGTAGAGATGGGTTTTCACCATGTTGACCACGATAGTCTCGATCTCTTGACCTCGTGATCCACCTGCCTCGGCCTCCCAAAGTGCTGGGATTATAGGCGTGAGCCACCGCGCCCGGCCTTGTTTCGTGTTTTTAGTAGAGACGGGGTTTCACTGTCTTGACCAGCCTGGTCTTGAACTCCTGACCTCATGATCCACCCTCCTAGGCCTCCCAAAATGTTGGGATTACAGGCGTCAGCCACTGCACCCAGCCTACCCTTGTGTTCTTTATCTTTTTCTTTTTTTTTTTTTTTTGAGATGGAGTCTCGCTCTGTTGCCAAGCTGGAATGCAGTGGCACAATCTTGGCTCACTGCAACCTCCACCTCCCGGGTTCAAGTGATTGTCCTGCCTCAGCCTCCCAAGTAGCTGGGACTACAGGCACTCACCACCATGCCCAGCTCATTTTTGTATTTTTAATAGAGACGGGATTTCGCCATGTTGGCCAGGATGGTCTCCATCTCTTGACTTTTCGATCTGCCCGTCTTGGCCTCCCAAAGTGCTGGGATTACAAGTGTGAGCCACTGAGCCCGGCCCCCTTGTGTTATTTTTCAATTCAAACAAATGTTTATTGAGTGCCTTATGGGGCCAGGCATT